TGCCCAGAGCCCCTGCTGCTGCATCTCCTCCTCGGGGCTGGTGCTGGCAATGCATTAATTCCTGCCCCTAGGCCTCAAGCTATGTTTGAGTTGCTGCTGTGCCCAGTTGCTGCTATGTCCACTTTCTGATCAGGATGCCACAGCTCTTTGCCATATGTAGGATCAGAGCTGTTGCTGCTCTGCAAACTCCTCCCTGGATCGTAACATGTGGCTTTAATGGGCCTGTACCAGGGAAGTGTTGCTGCTATTCTGAGACTGCCTCCTGGGGCCAGAGTTGAGACTCTCACCCACCATCCCCAGGCTGTGCTGCTACTGCACTCTGCCCCGTGGGCCCGAGCCATCATTCCACTGTTATCCCAGGGCCTGTGCTGCTGCTGTGCCATCTCCCTCTGTCCCATCCCACCCAAGTCACTGCGATGAGCTCCAGAGACCCAGACCCTGGTTCCACAAGAGATGTGCAAACACCCATACCTTAGACACCAGTATCACTGAAGCTGCAAGTGCACCTGCGCTCAAGCACCCAGGCACTGTTGTAGTTCCCCTTGCACCTGATCCCAGAACCCTGCTCCACTACTGCTCTGAGTGTCAAACATCTTGGACCAAGGACCAGGAAGGATCCCCTCAGCTAGAACTGTCTTCCATGAGCAAAAGAGGAAAAAAGGAGGACCCCAGCAGCCTTTGCCTCTGAGGATCCCAACAGTCCAAGCCACCACTGCCACCCACGGGACCTCTGCAGTCTTGGCCACAGAAGATCTCCTTAGTCTGCACCAACGCTGACCTAATGGAGCTGCACTGAAACTAGTCCACTGTGCTCTCCCAGGAACCAAAGACGCTGCATCCCACCCAGCCGGTGCCCTCACAGCTCTTTTCGGGCAAAAGTCTTTCCCACCGAAGCCAGGCTGAAGTCTAGAAGAGGTAAGTGCTCCCTCAAATGCACAGAGATCAATGCAGAGCCATCAGAAAAGTGAAAAAGCAAGAAAAATGACACTACCAAAGGAACACAGTAATTTTCAAGGGACTCTCTCCCCAGAAATGAAGGTCTGTGAGTTACCTGAAAAAGAATTTTAAAAAAATGCATGAAAACCAGATATTCAACAAAGAGAAATTATATATATATATATGTGTGTATATATATATATATGTATGTATGTACTGAACATATACAGACTTTTGTCATTATTCCCTAAACAATATAGTGTAACAACTATTTGCATAGAATTTACATTTTATTAGCTATTATAAGTCATCTAGAGATGATTTAAAGTATATGGAAGGACAAGCAAAAGTTATACACAAATCAATGACAACTTATATAAAGGACTTAAGCATCTGTGGATTTTGGATTCCTGGAGCCAATCCCCCATGAATACTGAGGGATGACTGTATTTGCATCCTAAGAGTCTCAAAAAGAGAGAGAGTAGGGGACAGAGACTTATTTAATGTCTGAAAACTTCCCAGATCTGGGGTGCATGAAGCTCAAAGATTCAACCCGAAGAGATCTTCAGTAAGACACATTATAATCAAGATATCAAAAAAGAAAAAAAGAATTTTAAAAGCATCAAGAAAAAAAAAAAAAAAGATTCATTACATACAAGGGAATCCTGATATGGCTATGAGCAAATTTCTCAGCAGACATCTTTCTGGCCAAGATAGAGTGGGATGATATATAAAAAGTGCTAAAAGAAAAAACTGAACCAAGAATACTTTACTCAGCAAAGCTGGATTTCAGAAATGAAAGAGAGATATAGACTTTCCCAAACAAACAAAAACTGAGGGAATTTATCACTAGAACTGCCTTAGAAGGAATGCTAAAGGGAGTTCTTCAAGCAGAAATAAAAAAGGATGCTAATTAGTAACATGAAAACATATTAAAATATAAAATTCACTGGTAAAGGTAAATATATACTCGAATTCAAAATATTCTAATACCACAATGGTGGTGTGTATATCACTCTGAACTCTAGCATAAAGGCTAAAAGACAAAAGTGTTAAATATAACTACAGCTACCATATTTTATTAACGTATACACTATATAAAATGATGTCAATTGGGACATCTACAACATAAAATGTGGGAGGCGGGCAATATGTAGAATTCTTTATTCAACTGAAGTTAAATTGTTATAAGCTTCTTTTTATTATTATTATTATTAATTTTTATTTGACTACAGCACCTGGTCTTCCTAGGTGGTCTCCCATCCAAGTACTAACCAGCCCCAACCCTGCTTAGTTTCCAAGATCACATATAGGGCTTGTTCAGGGTGGCATCGCCGTAGACCATGGACCATAGCTCCACTGAGGCGCAAACCCAGGACCTTCGCGTGTAAAGCAGATGTGCTAACCGCTACACTATGGAATCATGTCTCTGTTATAAGCTTCTTTAAAACAGAAATATAAGATATATTATGAAAACATCATAGTAATCAAAAAGCAAAAACCTATAATACACAAATGATAAAAAAGAATCAAAGAATACCACTACAAAAAATTAACTCACAAAGACAGAAAGAGGAAGAAAGGAACAGTACAATCAGAAAGCAATTAACGAAGTAGAGATAAGTCCTTAACTATCAAAAATTACTTTAAATGTAAATGGTTTTAATTTTCCAATCAAAAGACACAGAGTGGCTGAATAGATATCAAAACGAGACCTAACTGCTGCCTACAGAAGACTCACTTAAGCTTTAAGGGCACTCACAGGCTGAAAATAAAGGGATGGAAAAAGATAATCCATGCAAAGGGATGGAAAAAGATATTCTATGCAGATGGAGAATAAAAGAGAGTAGCTATAATTATATCAAATAAAATAGACTTTAACTCAAAAGCTGTAACAAGAGACAAAGACAGTCATTATAAAATGATAAAGAGTTGAATTCATCAAGTGGATATAGGAAGTATAAATATATATGTACCTAATATCAGAGCACTTAACTATATTAAACAATTATTAACACATCTGAAGGCAAAAAATAGACAGCGTTGCAATAATAGTAGAGGACTTCAATACCCCACTTTCAACAAAGGAAACATCATCCAGACAGAAAATCAATAAATAATAGACTTGAATGGCACTTTAAACCAAATAAACCTAAAATACATATGCGAAACATTCCAAGAGCAGAATACATATTCTTCTCAAGCGCACACAGAACAACCTCCAGGACAGATCATGTTAGGTCACAAAATAACTCTATAAATTTAAGACTGAAATCATAAGACTGACCACAATGGTCTTAAACTAGAAATCAATAACAGGAGGAAAACTAAAAAGTTCGCAAATATGTATAAATTAAACACCACACTTCTGAGCAACCAGTGGATGAAAGGAAGAATCAAAAGGGAACTCAAAATATATCTTGAAACAAACAAAGATATATATCTACATACACAATGGAATATTAGCCATAAAAAACAAGCCAGGGGGTGGTGGGGAGAGAGAGAAAATCCTACCATTTGCAATGTCAATGAAACTGGAGGGCTAAATGAAATAAGCCAGATAGAGACAAACACTGTATAGTCACTTATATGTGAAATCGGAAAAAAAAAGAAAAAAGAAAAAAAAAAGATAAAAGCCGATTTCATAGAAACAGAGAACAGAACGGTGGTGCCAAGGGCTGGGAGTGGAGTAAACGGGGTGATGTAGGCAAAAGGGTACAAATTTTCAGTTATAAAAAGAATCAGTTCTGAGGATCTAATGAGCAACATGGTGACTATGGTTATTTACGCAGTATTACATACTTTAAAGTTACTGAGTAGACCTTAAGCATTCTCAGCAACAAAAAGAAGTTAACTATGAGGTGATATGTGTGTTAAGTATCTTGACCTTGGTAATCATTTTACAATGGACATCAAATCATGTTTACACTTTAAATATATACAATTATATTTGTTAATTCTAAAGTCTAAAAAAATGAGTTAGGGCAGTAAAGTATCACCAGATAAAGTATTTGGTTGTGTCAAAGGTTATCGAGAGCTAGCTTTCCTTCCTTCCTTCCTTCCTTCCTCCTCCTTCCGTCCCTCCCTCCCTTCCTTCCTTCCTTTTCTGTTGAAGGTCTTAATAAGAAATACAAAATGGGCTTGTTGGTGCTTGGATACTTGGCAAAAAGAAAAACAGGCAAAGAAATTAGCACCTTGACTTAAAAACAATAAATAGATAGATAGATAGATAGATAGATAGCGCCTTGACTTAAAAACAATAAATAGATAGATAGATAAAAGAGAAGGGCAATTTGCCATTCTCGGATTTCCCATTTGCAATTTTAGTTACTGATGAGAAACTCTGGAAGCTGGTGAGAAATCATTAGTTTTGCTAAGGCATAAATTTGAATTTTATGGTAACATGGCTACATGGAAAACATCACCTAAGGAGTATGCCTAGTGGACCTCCTGGCATTCACATTTCAATAGTGATTTGCTATTCCCTACTCCTATGCCCTGGCACAGTGACTAAGGATCTGAAGGAAATGCTTTTAAAACTTTCAGTAATACTTTATATTATATGGTGCTATTTGAGATTCACAAAAATCTCAGTATAAATCCATTTCAACTCAAGAATTTACTGTATAAACCTAAAATATCTATTTCCTTCTTTTTCTATATATAATCAATATGTTTGTCTAAGGGCATCGCACCCTAGTGCCTTCTGTTATCCACTTATTATGCTGATTCCACAACTACTGCCCAAGAACATAAATTCATTTTTCAAATAAGAAACCTACAGCATTGTGTATTCTCATACCAAGAAAAATACCTACTTTTCTCCTATGTATCAGGGTTGGAAAATCTTTATAAATTCATTTTATTATAATATATAAATCATCTAAATAAAGTAGCACCACAATTATTAAAATATAAAAGAATGTCAATGAAATTGTCCCATGAAAGCCATTAAGGGGAAATTCAACTCTAAAATGTATTTTTAGCTTTTAAAGTTTTACTTTCTCAACCCACATAGAGCCACTCACTATATAAAATCAGTTTTTAATAATAAAAACATAAGATATGGTAGAAAGTATTATTTGACTTTATTAACCTTACTAATAATGTTAAATACAAATGAGAAATTAAGTGGTGACCCTTATTTTTAAGTCTACTTCAAAGCATGGTCTCTCAAAGAATTAGGGCAGATATGTCACAAGGAGGAGGGGAACCAAAAAGCCAAGTCAAAAACTCCACTAATTGATCTATGTATTATAAAGTTTGAGCTACAGCCCTTATGTTCTTTTAAATGGCAATTTCTTCTGATTTAATCTCATTAGCAACTAAATTTTTTAATCAGATCCTATACTCTATCATGTTTTCCAATTATAAATTGAAAAAAAAACACAGGCAGATATGTGTACCAAGTACTTTATGGAATTTACCACATACAGTTGAATTTCACATATAAACTTCAAAAATCAAAAGGACTATAATATTCTTAAAACCCAAAGGCTAGATAAGATCTACCTTCCAATCTTTCTGCATTTTAAGAAATGACTTGATCGAATCATATTAATGTAGAAATAGATCATATATTGTAACATCAATAAGATGACATTCAAAAGGAGAGCCAATAAACCTTTGCATTTAAAACCAAAAGGAATACATCTTGGACACCTTAAATTATAAAATTCAGTTCTAGGCAGGAACTGTTACTGTGTAACAAATACTGCTCATATCAAAAGTGCTGGTGACAAATAATTCAATATGCCCTTCCCACAGAATCTGTTCATACATATGTATCTATACCTGTAATAAGATTTTAAATGTTTATGGTGCTTAAATTTTGCACTGCAAGACTAATTTAATAAGTATTCATCTGCTCCCTCTCTGTAGCAACTCCAGTTAGAGTGAATGATCCCTGGGCAAAAGGGCAAAAATGCTGTTATTTTCTAGAATGCGGCATTTGTGGAGGTGGAGCGCCCTCTATTGGTAAAGAGGAGGACACACTCATTAGCTGTCCTGCATGCATTTTTTCATTAATCCGGAGTTCACATCCATCCTGAAGCATTCGAACTGCTATTCGGGCAATGTTCTTAGAGTCATCAAGTCCACTGTGAGGCCGCCCATCATAACCCATTCCTAATTTTTCAAGCATTATTGTCAGTTTGGTTTGGCTTCTAGGAACCTGTAAGATAAACAGTAAATAATTCTTTAGTATTCTAGAAATCACTGTGAAGTAGAAAAATAAGAAACTGAAAATTAACAGTAACAGTTGAATAAAGTTAGGCAAAGGGCAAATACTCCTGGTCAACTGAAACAAATAAATAGCTCAAATCTTCAGAGCTTTAGATCTTAGATAAAAATATATATCAACAGATGGAATCCTCAAAACATCTAAAAAGTTTGCACTTCTGTAATTTAACAAATCATTTATGAAATGTGCTGTTCCGGGCATTTAAATTGAAGTGCTACCATTTTAATCCAAACTAATTCTTTTTTGCATGGCATTTTTCTGTAATGTATCATTTTATTTGACTGACTCCTTAGATACTCCAAAAAAAAAAAAAAAAAAATTTAGCCTTTCTACATGACTACGATAATGAAAATCAAGAATGAAAGATATGTCATGTGGTATTTTTCAACTGATTTAAATATCTGCTCCATTTTGATAAACATAAAAACCTCATGCACTCCCCAGATTTCAATGTGCTCCTCCACTTTTGAGAACTACTGTTCTGTCCTTATTGGGAAGAAGATTTATTAAGTTTTACATTCTATAGTTTGTATAGCTATGTCACCTACACATCTTAAAGCCTCAGCTTCTTCATCTGTACAATGAGAGTTGTATTGTTAACTCATTGGATCACTGGGAGAAATCACAGAACAAATGTTATAAAAGTGCCATGATAAACATCAATCATTATCCTAAGCTGTAATACCTCAATGTATTTCGGACCTTCCACTAAATAGCATCTAAAAAATTTGCCCTAAAAATAATTTTCCCAACACACTGAATAACTTGGGTGAAATAGATTATCTCTAGAAGCACGCAACTGAGACTGAATCATGAAGAAAACATAAAATCTAAGCAAATCTACTGTAAGTAAGGATGCTGAATCAGTAATCAAAACATCTCAACAAAGAAAAGCCCAGGACCAGTTGTCTTCACTAGTGAATTCTGTAAAACAGTTAAAGAACTGACATCAATCCTTTTCTAACTTTTGCAAAAATTGAAGAGGAGGGCACACTTCCTAACTCATTCAATGTCATCATTACCCTGATACCAAAGCCAGACAGACACTACAAGAAAACTACAGACCAATATCTTTTATGAATACTGATGCAAAAATCCTCAACAATACCAGCAAGCCGAATTTAGCAGCATATTAAATGATTTATACACCATGACAAAGTGGGTTTTATTCCTGGAAAGCAAAAGTAGTTCAATATATAAAAAACAATCAAAGTAACATACAACATTACTATCAGGAAGGGAAAAAACACACGATCATCTCAATTGAGGCAGAGAAAGCACTGGACAAAACTGAACACCCTTGAAAAAACACTCAACAAACTAGGAATAGAGGAAGCAACTCAAAATAATAAAGGCTATATAGGAAAAACCGACAGTGAACATCATATTCAACAATGAAAAGCCTAAAAACTTTTCCTCTAAGATCAGGAACAGGACAAGGATGCCCACATTCACCACTTCTATTCGAAATAGAAAACCCATGTTCACTGAAGCATTATTCACAACAGCCAAAAGGAAGAAGCAACCCAAATGTCCATCAACAGATGAATGGATAAACAAAATGTGGTATATACATAAAATGGAGTATTACTTAGCCTTATGAAGGAAATTCTGACATATGCTACCTGTGTGAACCTTGCAGATATTATGTGAAGTAAAATAAGCCACTCGCAAAAGGACAAATACTGTATAACTCCACTTACATGAGGTACCTAGAGTAGTACAAAGTATAGAGACAGAAAGTAGAATGGTGGTGGCCGGGGGATGGAGTAAGGAGAAACAGGGAGTTATTGTTTAATGGGTATGGAGTTTCAGTTTTGGAAGATGAAGTTGTTCTGGAGATTCTGGATACCAATGGGGGTGACAGCTGCATGATAATATCAATGTACTTGATGACACTGAACTGCACCCTTAAAAAGTTAAAAGGATAAATTTCATGTTATATATATTTTGCCATGATAAATCGCAGAGATAAAATGAAAAGTTCTGAATAGTGCTAGAAAAATGGTTAACTCTTATTAAACAGGGGCCAGTTATTTCAATCAATGTTTAAAATTTTTAAACTGTATGAAAACCTGAGTAAAGAACACATAAACCTCATGCTTCCTCTGACTTAGCAAGAAAAAGGTCTCGGCAAGGTGTCTGACATGAAAGGTGAATGGCAGGCAAACAGTAGGCCAGATTTTACTGAGTGGTTTGAAAAAGCTGCAAACACTAGCCTGCTCAGTAGACATTTTCATCTCATAAACCAAGTGAACACTGCTTGTAAGACCCTGGAGAAAACATCTCACTTCAAGTGACAAGACTGCTGGATCATCAAAGGAAAATGAGTCTTTGGGAAAATCATATTGCAAAAGGAAATCTTACACGTTCGTTTACTTTCTTGGGCTTGATAATGAGGAAAGAAAGCTATTAGCAAGTCTCAAAACTTACTGAAAGCCATCTGGAAAAACTGGAAAATTAGACTATTTTTCCTCCTTTTCAACAAACCAGAATATGACTAGGTAAGGCCCTTTCTCTGAACCTTTTGCTCAGTGTGAGAATTTGACTTTGAGAAAAGAGCTTTGTAAAGTACAGTCCAATCACAAACTGGAGGAGATTTACTGATCTGCCTCTAGAAAGGTGGATTTCGCAAAAGAAGAGGGTGCGCTATTCACAGGAAAGTAATGAACATTTCACTACTGTTTTCAACTTTTTATGCGTGTAACCAAGCCTTTCCTTGTTTACCAATATGAAGAGCAAGGGCAGAAGCTGTCTAATTTCAGTGGAAAATGAAGTCCACGTTAACTTATCTCAAATTCCTCCCCAAATTGAGTATTTGTATAGGAAAAAACAAAAAGAACAAAAACAAACACAGGTTTCACTTGAAGAGGTATATTTCATTATTTTACATCAAAAGCATTTTAATGCACATATATACATAACTATACAAGAAATTAGCACATTTGTATAATTTTGTGTATGCTAAACCTACATTAAGTCTGACTGGTCACACAGAAAGAAAAACTTTATTTTCTAAAATCTTGTTTAAAATTGTGTTTTAGGCTGTATTTTTATTCAGTGTTTCAGCCTACTCATAAAAAATTAAAGTCCATTTTAAGTTTAAGCTAGTTATTTAACAAAAATGTATTATGTTTGCCTTATAAGTTTTTAAAATTTATGAAAAGGAAAAAATGATTAATTTCCATTTTAATTACCCATCACTACCCTCCATTCCCAAGAAAGGTAAGTTAAAAAGTCATTTTTAGTTTTAAAAAGGAGAAAATACTTTATACATACCAAATACCAAAGACCTTACCTTGCTAGCATCATTTATAGCAGAAATTTCTAATAAGACTTTTAAGCCTACTTGGATAAGACAAAAAATAAAAAACAACCCAAAAAAGGAGGAAAAAATGTTTTAAAAGGAAAAACCTAAGTTTCCTCAACCTATACTAACTGGCATGATAGTTGATATCTATTATAAAGAGGGGAAAACCACACAGAAAAGAGCAGCCTAAGAAAATGGTCAACATAAACAGATTTATAGAAAAATGTTCTCTACTCAAAAGAGCACTGGCAACTTTATTGAGTTACTGCATCTGCAACTTTGATCACTCTAATGTACTATGAGCTGTAGATATTTTTATGCAGACTTGAAAATTATTTTATGATTTTATTAATTATTATCCTTAGAATAAATTATTCCTTTAAGTTAAAGGTTGGAAAATGACACCCTAATGTAAGAATTCATTACCACCTGAGAGTTGTAGCAAAAATCACAGAACCTTGAAGATGATCAAGCCCCTACAAATTTACATGAAATACAGAGAACAGAGGTACATTTGAAACTATAGTACAGGCTATAACAAGCAAAATCTGGACTATGGAAAACTACATAACAAATTGCCCAGTTTTTTTTAAAAAAAATAATCAACTGCTAGAGGAAAAAAGATGGAAAAGGAACTTACAGATTAAAAACTTGAGACATGTCAACCAATTGCAAATGTGTGGTCCTTATTCTGATCCCAATATAACACACAAAAAGTAAAACAAAATATTTATGACATTTATGATGATTTGGTGACGTTAAGGAACTATTATTAATTTTTTTAGTGTGATAATGGTATGGTAGTTATGTTTTCTTAGAGTCCTTATCTTTTGCAGTTATATAATGAGATGTTTACAGATGAAATGAAATGTTTGAAATGTGCTTTAAAAGAACACGCTGAAACAAGGCTGGTCATGAGTTTAGCTGTGGAAAGCGGGCAACGACGGTTCATTGTACCGTCTCTACCTCTGTATATGCTTGTAACTTTTTTCATGTATTTTTTTTTAAAGCATTTCTCATAACATGTTTAAGAAATCACAAAATGAGTAAAAAGGTAAATCCATAAAAAAGGAAAAAATATTTACCAAAATAATCAAAGGACCAGTATTTAAAATAAAGATAAAAACCAACTACAACAGGAAAGACTGCCTGATTTTTAAAAAACGGGTAGAAGATTTAAACAAGGACTTCACAAAAGAAATCCAAATAGCTAATAATTAGGAAAAGGAGCTCAACCTCATGAGTAATTAGGGAAATGAAAACTAGAACTTCAGTAAGATACTATCACACATTCAACAGCTTTAGACATTTTAAATGTTTGGTAATACCAGATGTTGGCAAAAACATGGAGCAACTGTCAATTCATACATTCTTCTGGAGAGAGTGCAAACTGATACGACTCCTTTGGAAAACTCTTTTTGTATTATCTGCTAATGCCAGTGTTGCACAACATATTCTGTAGGCCAGCAATTCCACTCCTAGGTTTACGCCCTGGAGAAATGAGTACACAAAGGCACCAGAAGACATGCACAAGAATATTTATAGCACTACTATTCACATAAGCCTCAAACTGAAAAGCACCCAAATAGCCTGCCAGGGTAGACCAGATAAGCAAACTGGTACATTCACACTATGGAATTCTACACAGCAATTAAATAAATGAACTACAGCTACATACACGACATGGATAAATCTCAAATATAATGCTGAGAAAAAAAGCAAAATAAAACAGCTGGTACAATGCTAATTATATCATGTTCAAAACCAGGCAAAATCTAACTATATGGTGTAAATATAAACATAAATATTAAAGCTTTGAGAAAAAAACAAGAAAATGATTCTCATGAAAAGTATGGATTATGGGAGCTCTGAGAAGAAGGGAGGGGGTTGAGTGAGTGGAAGTTATAAGGGATTTCACTTTAAAACAATCTGTCGAACTCTACTTTTTTGTATGTGTAGTTCTCAGTTTTAAGAACTATTAAAACCATACACACACACACACACAATGCAAACATTTTTAAAGAAAAACAGTTTTTCTCATGAATCTTCTTTAGAATGTGTTTCACCAAAATGAAGTTGTAAAGGGAGAAAGAAAATGACACAAGATCTAAGACATGATAGAGAAGCAAAGGAAATCTCCTAGATGGACTGTAGAAGAAACCTGAAAAACTAGTTCAGGTTAGAACAAAATTAAAGTCTCCAAGAAGGTAGTCCGCAAAGGAAACAAGAAAAACTGTCAGATTACCTAAATGTTTTGAGTACAGATACAGAGAAGTGATTTTACAGTTTGAATGGAAAGGAAGAGAATAAGAAAACAACTAAAGAAGTCAATCATTAAATCTGGGGAAAAGTTGTGAATACTTTCCATTGCCATAGGAATGTAAAAATGGATATAATTTGATTATAAAAGTAACGTAACTATACTAGAAAAACACAGGGAGGGGAAGGACATGCAGGAATGGTGGCTTTGTAATTGAGCTAAATCTTCATCTTCTGTTCCAAGAATTTAATAGATATCTCAAACTAAAATCCAAGCATAAACATAATTTAGAACTATTAAGGTTAATATTAGAGGAAATAGCTTTATAAAGTTAGAAGTACCTCAGGAGAACAGGAACCAGTACGGGTGAGGGTCATGGTGGAAGACTGCCATTTGTTGTAAACTTTGCAATGTTATTTTCAAAATTTACACTATACAAACGTATTAACTTTGATAAAATTAAAATGAAGTAGGGGACCAATAGTTCCACAAAGTATTCCCCTACAGTTTTAAATCTGTTATTGAAGACTATGTTTATCTACATAAGAAACAGGATGAATGAGAAAAACAGCTTATCATTCTAAACTCATATGAACACAACTAATTTGGAAACTGAAAAGTAACAACTAATTATATGACCTTTTTCTGTGAAAAGCACCTTATAAATCACAACCTATACATGCAAAATATAATAATTTATCATCAAGAATATAAAAGTATAATCATTAAAATATAGAAATTTTACCTTGTAAAAGTTTCCATACGACTTTCGAATATTGATCCATTTTTTAGCAAAAGGAGGATATTTGAGCCTGCTTAGCTGACACTGAATGTTCAGGAACTTACTCATATCCCATGAACTTATAAAACAAAAACAGGAAGAAAAATGGATAAAGTGGATAAAATAAATGCTATAATATTCTTACAAAAGAGTATTTTAAGCCATTCTAATTTTTTTATTTACACGTCATCTTTCTTTTTCATACTTACACATACCATCAAGCTTAAACACTTAACCTCTCTTCCTCCAAAATACTAATTCAAAAATAAACTTTAAAAAACGAACAAAAAAAGTCAGGTATATAAAATATTTTTCACAAACTAATTCTTATAGGTTCATATTGATCGTTTTTATGATTCTGATTATCTGGGCAGATCTCTATCTTGTATTTTTTCATAATTCTAAAATTTGAGTGTGTATTTTGAAATAAAACAAAAACAAATTAAAAAAATACTTGAAAGAGACAAAAGGAGTTGGTATCAAGTAGTAAGAATACTATTTGTTTCTACAACACTAATCGACCTATGTAGTTGAGAATATTGACTGTATAATGTGGAAATTGTGTTGGTTCATACATGGGATTTCCTAGGCAAAAGGAGCCAGAATAATGGCGGTTGAACTTATAACCTTCACCACAGAAGAAAAAACTCTCAACTCAGCTGCTGTACTGGCAAGAGGAGTACTTTCAAGTGTATTTTAAGAAAAGTAAAAACAAGTGCCTGTCCCCAGGATCTTACTACTTCTGTGCATTTGTAATATCATCTGAGGCAACAGCCATCTACCCTGAGTTGCTTGCCTGGGCTGTTCAAATTATTTCTGAAGGTATCGATTATTGTTTTTGTTAGTAGTGCTCTGGTTACAAAATTATACAAATTTTGAATGGTCTATCCCAGAATGTGGGGTTTTTGCAGAATCACACATACTGTGTTAGGAAAGAAACAACACTGCTCATTTGTGTTTGAAATCAAGAAGAGATTTTTAAAGAGGTCCATCAACATGTTCCCAAACTTCTATTTTTAAACACAATTATGATGTGATTAAATTCAATGCTCTTTTCCCGTTGTATGTGAGGGTCTCTAAACCCTCTATGTAGGTGATATCATAGCCTTAGTGTACAATCTGTTCATAGTTTGAAACAGAAGTTGATTAGAACTTTCTTCTTCAAACTTAATAGTGTTATGGGAGCAGAGCTGCCTTGTACAATGCCTACAATCCTTGTTTTCATCTTTCTCATTTTCCTACTTACTTTTTTCATTTCACAAATGCTTTTCGAGCATACATTTTGAACTCAGCACTATAGTAAGCATTATAGAAGACTACCAAGCAGCAAAAATCCTTGCTCTGAAAAATTTTTAAGCTCTTTGCAAACATAAGTCTTACGTAGATAAAGTTTAGATATCAGAATATTTAGCCAGATGCCAACAGGAATAGTACATATCACAGAGGCTATAAGACTTCAAGGAAAAGAAAGATCAGTGTGAATTGTAGTGTCTGGAGTAAAACATGAGGTGGGCTTTGAATAATCATAAAGAAGTGGTCAAGGAAGAGAGCCTTCCAGTGGAAAGAAACACATGAATAAGCACAAAGAGAAAGGATAAATCATGTGATCCATGGGCCAGCCTGACCAAAGTAAAAAAGAATAATGGCAGGTGAATCAGGCTATACAGGTAAGGTGAGATTAGATGAGAGAATCTTAAAAGCCAGACTGAAGAGTTTGACCTTTTCTGAACAAGGAAGTGTCCTGATAAAAACAGAGTTTTAGTAGAGGCATTTTAGTTTTACATATCAATATTTATCTTTCTCTAGTTTTCCAGTCCTGGATTAGACAGTTATCATTGCTTTGCCTCCTCTCTTTGATCTCTAGGATTCAAATTTAACTAGGAACAAGAATAAGAAAGGAAAAATACTGCCTCTTTTAGTAAATTTCTTGCAGTTATTCTAAAAGTTAAATGAAGATGGACAAACTTAATCTTAAAAAGTAGATTAAAAAGGTAACAATTTTCCTAAGTACTTACCCATCTGTTAATATGCAATATTTATACTTTGTTCCTAATTCCTTTAATTTCATCCAGTCAATTACTTTTTTCAGTACCTGAGGGAAGGTATCAGCTCTGTCTACCTGATCCTGAGGATGTAAAAGTAAAATATATAAAAATCAGAGCAGTAACTTGTATTTCTCCTACAAAATACCTAGATCCAAACATTAGAGGATAAGGAACAATAAGAGAAAGTCTTATTTATGATGATTTAATGTCTTCATGATTTCCTTGGCTGAGATTCACCAAACATTTCATTTTTTAAAACAATTAAAAACTGATTATAGCCAAGTATTTTCAAGTGAAAAACATAATCTTCCTAAAATTAAGATTTAAGATTAACCCCAGTGGTTCTCTTTGTTTAGGCCTCAACTCAGTGGCTCAAGAATCTGCAGAGTAGAGAAAAGGGAAATCTCTTCTCGCTGAAAACCACAGCCTTCTCCTTACCTCAAAGTTCACATCTCTCTACCACACACTACATACCACTGCTAGACTCATCTTCCTAAAATAAAAATCTAATCCATCACACCACTTTCATACTTAAAATCCTCCAAATATTCCCAAGGATTTCAGAATAAAAAGATATACAAGACTCTTCATGATCTGGCTTGCCTTGGCCTACCACTTTAGCTTTATTTGTAACCATTTTCTTACTAGCTCATATGTATTTGAACCACCCCGAACTACTTAAGTTCTGCCATTCACACCTGAAATGCCCAGTCATTCTTTTCTACCTATATACCTACTGTGACTTGGCCCAAGTTCACCAACTTGAGGAATGTTTTCCCAGGACAACCTGCCATTCCCTCTGTCATAGGAAGCCCTTTTTATAGACATCTATAGTACCCTGATGAAACACTAACTGACTTGTCAGTCTTCCTAACCACATTGCGACCACTGGTTTATTCTCTGTGTCCTCCTGAGTATAGATTTGTTAACTGAGCTAAGAGACTGACTTGACCATCTTTGTATCCTAATACCTTGGCAAATCCTATAGTAGGCACTCACATATTTGTTGAGTAAATGAATGAATAAATGAATAAACAAAGGAACTAAATAAAGGAACAAAGGGTCTGCCACATCGGAATACACCCCAAAATCAGAGACCTAAAAAATTCAAGCTATATTATATATAAAGTAAGGTTGTAAACAGATACATTTTTAAAACTTTAGCTCCAAGTTCAGTATGGTAACAGTTAATTTTACTAGTGTGCCAAACAAACGAACCTTTAGATTCATCATTATGACTCCTTGGAAGGAAAAACTGAGAAAAATTTTACCAGATGTAAAATTTGCTTTTCTATTCCTTAAACATTACAGTACGAAAGATCTTTATCAAGCAAGGGAAGTATCACATTAATTTAAATCATTTACCACAATAATTTTTTAAAACTATGAAATAAATCCCTAATTTTAAAACTTCTTTCGAACTCGCGAAAAAGGAACATAGAATCATAACCTGAGTAATTCCAGTTAGATTGATGCAGAAATCAGAAAGTTGTGTGTTCACCTCTGGTCTCACATACTGCTGAAACGTATCTTCCTACAAGAGAAGGACAATAAGTTAAAGTATTTTCTGTGACTTAAGATCTATGACACATGATACATGACAAATTCAGCCACATGAAGTTGTAATTTTATAGATGCTCATGGCATAGACCTTTCTAGATTTTTAACAATTTAAATATAATTCCCTACTCCCAAAGGACTCTAATTTTTTAATTAAAAATTATATTTCACAGTTTAAAAAAATTTAAGATAAAGCAAGTATCTAAAAGCAAGCCTTCGAACCAAAGTTCAAATAAACATTTTCCTGAGCAGCAAAATGTTGATAATTTTGTTTATAATATTTTGAAACCATAAAGCCTATTAATGCAACCTTTACTTTGATTCTAAATGCTTTCCAAATAATAATTCTTTTGAAGAAATGCCAGTCTTCGGTTATAATAAATTAGCTTGATTACTGCTCTCATTTACTCCTCAATAGTTCTTATTACATTAAGATTCCACCAAACTGAATTCTGAATAGTCAAAACTTGACTATATGATATATAGTTTAAAGAGCAATAATACTATGTATATACATACACAAACACATATATATACACACATTTTTTTTTAGCAATTTTTAACCTCTTCAAGCTTTCGGGTTTGCTTTATGCTCACAATAACTCTGTGAACTCAGGCCAGTACTGTTATCATCAGGATCAGATATCTAAGTGCTTTTTCCTCTAGCCCAATACTGCCTACTGAAACCAGATCACACTAAGTCATTTATTAACAATTAGGGACAATTTCACAGCCTAAAGATTTACAGGCAGCAACTGTTAATATTAGGTAGAAATGGAGAAAAGACAAAGAATATTATTCGAGGTAAAAGATTTAAAAATTAAGAAATAAAAATAAATACAAAATAATTCTTTATATTTCTTAAGAATAATTTTTTATACACTAGTATATTAACCAGATGAATTAGTTACTAACAAGTGTAAAAAAGCAAAAGAACAGCAAAGAACATTTGAACTTTAAAAGTTAGATGCTTTTTACTTACCAAATATTGTAAAAGAAAAAAAAATTCTATTTAATTGAATTTCATAAATGAAGTCTCTATTCTTCTTAGTACCAATATTTTGTTCTATCATTTTAAATGAAAACCTTTCAAAAATATGCTGCAACTTCCCTTACCATTACGAGCAGGAGATACTAATATTGATAAAATTTTATTCACTATTTAATACTTTTAACAGATGGTGCTAAAGAGAACTATGCTTCCACTAACCAAATATTTAGTAATTAATTAAATTACATAGTAAGTTAAAGAGCGATGAAGGTTATTAGCAAATAGAATAGGCAAAAGAGATCGGGGTGTTTAAGCTACATTATTAAACAGGTAACCAGTTAGGCTTTATTTAGAAGGTAAGAGTTAAAGGACTGGAAGGAAGAAAGGGAGGATGGGAGGAAGGAGAGAGGGAGGGAGGGAAGATAGGAGGGAGGGAGGGAATTAGCAATAAGACCTTTGGAGGAAGCCCTGGGAAGTGATGAGGTGGAGTATGTCTGGCATTTATGACAAACAGCAAGCAGGTCAATATGGCACAATCCGAGGTAACAAGAGGTCAGATCATATAAGGAATATGACTTTTACTCTAAGTTAAATGAGGAGCCATTGAAGGGTTTTGAGCAGGAGTGAAATGATTGGACTTATATTTTATAAGGATCACTCTGACCACTATGTTGAGAATTGGCTGTAGGGAACAAGGACATAAACAAAGAAACCAGCTGGCTTGTAAATGCCGTAAATCCAGACAAGAAATGCTCACAGCAGTGAAGTGAAGTGGCTGGGTTCTGCATATATTTTGAAGGCAGAGTAAACAAGAGTCACTGTTGGTTTGGATGTGTGAAACAGAAGTGTCAAGGATGAACTGAGCAATTAGAAAGAGTTGCTATCACTCAAGCTATGGAAGGCTTAGAACAAGTAATTCACAGTAAATTCAACTTGGGATGTGTTGAGGTGTCTGTTTAGATGTCCAAGAAGAGATGTTAAGTAAGCAGTATGAATTTGGAACAGAGGTCCAGGTTGGAGATATTTATTTGAAAGTCATCAGCACACAGTTTCTAAAAGTTATGGAAATAGATGACAGATAAGATCATTAAGGGAGAGGAGCTAAATGGAGATGAGACCTGGGATTGAACCTGGGGCATCAGATATTAAGAAGTTGGGACGAAAAGGAGGAACCAGCAAAGGAAGTTGTGAAGGGGAAACTGGTGAGGCTGGAGAAAAATCAAGAGAATGAGATGTCACTCGAAGAAAGTGTTTCAAGGAAAGAGAGGTCGATTCTTTCCAGATTTAGGTAAAGGTCAAAGATGACTGATTTTAGTGGAGTGATGGGACTGAATATATAATAAACCTACAGTGATGCAGGTCTAAGAGAGAATGGGAGGAAACAGAAACAAGTATATATAACTTTTTCAAAGAAATTTGTCATAGAGGAACAAAGAAATAGGGTGCCTAGCAAGAAAACGGGATCAAGCAAAGGTATGAAAAATAAATGTTTGTATATTATGGGAACAATATAAAAGCAATAAATCATTAATGTCTAAATGTGAGAGAATTGCTAGAGTAACGTCCTTGAGTAAGAGAGAAGTGGTGGAATCCAATGAGTTATGCAAAATTATTTGCCTTCGGAGCTATCATTTTACCTCTTTATTTACTGGCCTTTAATTTGCTTTGGACAAGGAAATTATATAAATAGGCTGATTAGGATTATAACTAAAAGAGGCTCTGAACAATACTGAGAAAAACTTACGCATTTTAATGCATAAAGCCTTTTTATGCTTATTCCCAGTGTGTTGGTAGCAACTGGCAATTCTACAGAAGTAACTTTTGGCTAGATGAGACGTTATGATACATCCTTGCTCAGATTTTACAAGGCAAACAGTACTATTTTAAAGAATTCTTGCTGACTTTCTGAATTAATAATGCAATGAAAACTAGTATCCAAAGCATACATATTATATGGCTTAGAAGCCACGGTTATGAGAGTTCTTTCCCCCATAACTTTTCACCAGAAAGATGGCCAGTTCTAAGTTGGATGGTAATTTCTGTAAATGATCATTTTCAGAGATCAGAGCATACATTTGTCTACAGCAGTGGTTCTCAACCCTGACTACTAATCAAATGAGAAGCTCTTTAAAAATGCAGATGTCAGGGGCCCGAGCACAGAACAACTAAATCAGAATCTCTGGGACAAGGGCCAGGCATCACTATTTTTTGTTTATACCCTAGGATATTCTGATGTCCAGCCAGATATGTGTTCTAAGCAAACAGAGAAAAAACACTATTATTTTAGCTACTGGAAAAGAAGAAAAGCAGACGCTGAAATAATTTTATTATAGCTTTCCTATTAATCAAGCTGATATAAAGCACACGGCAAGAACAAAAAGCCTACCTTAGAATTCTAATTCTAGCTGAAACAGTAAACGAGATCCTTTGCCTTACTAGCCAACCCCAGAATAGTTGCTGCTAAAAATAAAATTAAACTATGACAATTCACTTACTATTTCCAAAGTATTAGTATTCAGTAAAACAACAGGAAATTCAATTATTTCATGTACGAACTCAGGTGGGTTACCCTCTTCACAAGTGGCTTCAAAGTCAATAATACAAATGTAGTCATAGTAACTATCAGCACAATTGCCCTCTTTCAACATCAGCTTCTGCTTCTTATAATAGTTTTTCAGCCTCTTCTTTAGAACATCCTTTACTCCTCTAAGGAAAATAAGAATAAAATTAACTCTTAGGTAAATTTCACAGTCAAGAATCTGTACTCTTACCTGGTTGCACGGGTTGAACATTGACAGGCAAAGCATTTTTAGCAAATGTTAGCTAAAATAAATGTAAAGAAAGCAAGACTCAAAGCTAATTTAGCAAGGAATTAAAATATGTTTAATGCCTCATAAATATTTTCCTTCACAAGCAACTTTTCATCTTTGTAGTATATGAGCATTTTCTCCAATATATACTGGTACTTCAAACCACAAGCCTGTCAGCATACACCACCTTGCTTTATATACTAAGATGACATACATGATACAATAACTGAAATTAATACTGAATTATTCTACTGGCCAAATACAAATTTCAGCGTCTGAAAATTCAGGTAAATTGAACATATTGTGCTCTTTCCTCTCTTTTGGCTTTTATAGGTCAGGCAACTAAAAAGTCCATATGAAGATTAAAATGTTATGAGACTAGTAAAGTCAAATGTCTGTTAGCTATTTAATTAGAGAAACTAATTTAGAAGATACCTTAGAATAAACTGTATTCAGAAGAACACTGTAATACTCTTAATTATAGATTTCTCAATTTACCACGGGTAGAATATGATTTAGATTTCGGTATTACGGATATTTTTAAAATACATGTTCCACAAACGGGGAGTGGGGAATTGGTTGTTCTAAATAGAAACAACGGCTGGTAATGGTTACTTTCTTCAAATAGTATGAATTTCCTTAAAAAAATTAAAAGCCACAACCCGTGCTCAGACATCCTTCAGGACTTACTTGGTGCAGTCCTATAATGGCTTGCAAATACATAATAGAAGTAAAAATAAGATCTAAGTTGTAATTAACGTGCAGTGACAAGGCATTTTGATCATAATATCTGTTAGGGACTATTAAAAATTTTTTTTTACGTTTTTGTTTTCCTTTCTAAACTACCACTTAAAAGGAATCCTATCCATGAAAATATTAATAATTAACCAGTTAGTTGTTTTAAGACAAAATGTCTTAATATATTTATTTGCCTGAGATTTTCCAAATTATCAAAATGGGGCAAGGAATCCCCTTATCTCCTTTCGTATTAAGGTACTGTGAGTGACCTCAGAGTCATGTGAGAATAATGAATTATTTTGTCTTAATTTCTTTTCTTTCTTTCTTTTTTGGAGAAACTACATTTTACTAAAGGATTGCCTGTAATAGCATCTTTAACATCTTTCTTGCCCCTCCACATTCAAATCATAGCTATTTTTGCAAACACTAACTCAGAAAAATATTCGAAGCTGGTTCTCCTTAATTCTCTCTGGTATGGCTCTCATTAGGTTCTTAGACTATGACAAATGCCTCCTCTATCACAACCCTCCTTCCACTCTTTACCTTACTTGAGAACTAAGCACTAATGCCATTTTTTTTTTTTTTTTTGTTTTTGCTGCAAATACCTTCAGTGGCTCCCTTCTGCTTACAAAGTAAAATGCAGACTTTAGCAGAGCTCCTTCACAACTTGGCTATGACCTATCATTTCAGCATCATCTTCAGATGCTCCCACTCCCCATGGTACATCGCATACTGCAGATAAAACATATTACAAGTCATTGCCTGAATATGTGGTATGTTTTCATGATCTATAACTTCAGTTGTACGATAGCTGAAGAAAAAGAAAACTCATGTAGCAGAAAACATACAAGCAGAAATTAGGAGTCTTCAGTTTTTTGCCTGAAGTGCCCTCCCTCCCTTCTTTTTCTGTTTGGCACATCAAATATCACCATTAAATTCCTAAGACAGACTCTCTTCTGTATTCTCATGGTGTACCTGGCCAGACCTCTAATGTAGCACTGGTTACTCTGTATTGTGATTATTTGTGTTTTCCCAACAGACCACGAGTTTTCCAAAGTAGGGAATATATCTGTTTTACTTTTATAACTTTAATGCTTAGTGTAGTGCTTAGAATTCAGTAGGTGCTTGCTGAATAAATGTATAAACTTACATCTGGATCGCTAGTTCTCATGCAAGTGAGTAAGCAACTGGTCTTCACACCTATGTATGACCACTATTTTGCTCAGAAAACCTTCTGTAGGCTACGGGTTCTATCTTTATAATAGAAAGAGTCAAAGGGAAATGAGGTACAAATTTTCTTCACAAATTAAGATGTAGACAATCTAGGAGAAAGAAAATGTATGTGTGTACTCTTTTAAAAAGTAGTGAAGCTCTATTGTAAAGCAAAGAAGAGGAATACTTCTTATACAAGAAGGATTCAGGGATACCCAGAAACAATAACAGTTTTCATCTATTGTATGTAGTCAATTTTTTTTTCCTGATGCCTAGAATTTCTATCATCTGTCAAAAATCTTCATGTGTTTCTGGATTCCAAAGGTCATTCCTACCCCAGACCCTAAGTCAAAATAATTTGTTGTGCAAAAATTATTTAAAACTGAAGTGTGTATACATCTCACTGAAGACACACATTCTGAGTTGACCAAACTGTATTGAATTCTCATTTAATATACTGTTAAACATAATAAATACTATTATTTTGCAGTTTTAGAAATGGAAACAGAAAAAAGAATAATTCCTGATAGGTGAATGACTTTTCTAAATTACTTGGTTTCAAAGAAATCCACCTTACAAAAATAATAACACAAATGGACAAAAGAAAATAATAAAGGAAAATATTCAATCTCATTAATAAAATATTATCCAGCAACCAAATAAGCGACTAAAAAAATATTAAAACATACTTGGTATAATAAGATAGATACTCTTATACATTGCTGGTAAATTGTCAAACTATTCATACACTTTGACCCAACAACCCTGCTCTATCATCTAAAATAATGACAAATAATCGGAGTACACACAAAAATTCATGTACAAAATGTAAATTACAGTTGTTATCTGAATTGTTAATGATGGTTGTTTCTTTATGGTAGGATTAGATTTTTTTAAAACTTTTTCAGTGTTTTCAAGATTTTCTGGGATAAGCATGCACTGCTATTATAATTTTAAAGAGTTATTTTTATTTACCTGGTTTCAAGCTTGAATTCTGAAAGTTTAGCTCTGAGTTCTTCCTTACTCATTCTATTAATGCAACCATTCGTAATAGCAATCTCTTTATAAACTGGGTCACTGAAGTCACTTGAATTGGAGGTAATGAACTTAGATTCTTTTGTTTCTTGGCCATCAAATCTACATCGTTGCTTTTTCTACCAAAAAAAAACCATATAGTTCATAATTAGTACAATCATCTGAAAGATTAAACTCCTGAGGGAGGTCTCTTTGCGCTACATAGTCAATGAAAAGTGCCCACTGCAGCTTACTGGAGAGAGGGCAGGATAGGAAAGAGATATGTGTTTCCAATATGACTGACTCTGCTCTCTTCTGAGTCATGAGGTTTCTTACAGGCCATGAAGCTAAATAAAAAGGGCACCGATGTTGGGAGTCAGAGCCACCTCAGAACAGAACTCCAGCTGACCATTTATTAGCAGTATGACCTTAGGTAGCTACTTATTAGCCTCTGATCTTCGGTTTCCTTATCTATAAAATAAGCATAATAATAATTGTCTCAAATGGCATTTGGTAACATAATGGTAAACAGTATTTAGACAAGATTATAAGAATTAAATGAGATTATGTACATCAGGCTACCATATTCACTATGGTTATTAATAAATGGTAACTTTACTTACTAACATCACGGACTATTTAACAGATCTTTCATAGACAATATTCTAAAATTTACAAATGAATTAATTTTTTAAATCGATCTTTACAACATTATGCATGCATAAGTCAGTGAATTTCTGACAACGTTTTCATTTCAAAAAGTTAATGAAAGTTGCCCAGCATAAAAAGAAAATGGACTAGAAATCTATTTCAAAATGTCCTAGTACCTAAGGCAAAGAAGGAAATGTATGCAGTTTCAAAACACACAATTTTCAAAAGTTACACATATAACAGTTATTCAGGATAACTACAGTTACTGTATTATAAACCTTTCCTCTTTTCTTAAATCAAAATGTACATTAAAAGAAAAATCACTCTACGAGTACTGCCAAAATACTAATTATGTTAAGTTTCAAAGATCATTTATAAGTTAATTATTTTCCACATCCAAGGTTACAAATATTAGGTATGGTCCAGAATTTTCAAAACTACTGAGTACTTACTATTAATCCATAGTACACCTTGTTAACTTAGTCACAATTTACCACACTGTTCCATGTGAACTTTAATTACAGATTAAGGAGGGATAACCATAAACAGGCCTCTTCGAAAGTAGAATCTTAAGGAGATGAGACAACTATGCAAAAACCCAGAGGAAGAGCATGCCGAGCAAAAGAAGCATGCAAAAGAAACAGAAAACGCTTAACACTTTTTAAAAAGAACACAAGGAAGCCAGCAGCACTGGAAGCAAAAGGGAGAACTGTGTGGGATGCAGTGAGCTATGGAGGCAGGACCCAGGTCCTGCGAGGTAGCAAACTGAAGACTTAAGGAGGGTAGCAATCCAGTCAGATTCGTGTTATTAAAAGATCATTCTGGCTTTTACATGGAGAATTGGCTGTAGATAAATGGAAGGAGCGGTAGCTAGGAAGTTTCTTGCGAGCACCCACTCTATGAGGTGCTCAACATGTTTGCTGTTAACAGAAAACAACCGATTTTAGTATTAGATTATTTACAATCCCTAGCGCTAGTTAAAATATTCATTAACTAAAATGAATAAGCTCTCATACTTTTTTACAGTTTTGCCACTGTAACTAAGAGCTACCAGTGAACCGTCAAAATCATTAAGAAAATTAGCCATATTATCTATGAGATAGTAGTAAACGGGCAAAAATCAGAGACAAATCTCTTATAGGCACAATCACCTTTGTTAAAGCTGGAGGAGATGAGCTTAAAGATTTTAAGAAGTGACATACACAGAACATATAGTGCGATTTTTTTTTTAATAGCTTACCAATTACCGAAAGGGCTAGGCAGAATGACAAAAGCAAGAGTGTGCACAGAATGTTTAGATCGGAATCCCTACTCAGAACTTATAACACCACAAGTGCACATACTTCTCCTCTAGACTGTTTACTCTCATCCAGAAGGTGATTCGGTCCAGAGGGGCCTCAATGACGACCCCAGGAGATGGAGACAAGGGAAGCGGTGAGGACTGGGGTCCAAAGCGCGCAGGCTGCGGTTCCGCCGGAACACCCTAGAAGAAAGGGGCGCGCGGGCGTCTGCTGACAGCCGGGCGCAGACAGACTCCTTACCTCGGGATGCGGATGCTGCGGCTCCTCCCCAGACTCCGACCGCGGCGATTCCTGTCGCGCGGGAGTCACGGCCTCGCTGCCAGGCTGTTTGCTCCACTCATCCTCCATGCCGGTATCACGTAAGAAGACAGCTGCTGGAGGCCGACGCTCGCTCACTCTCACTCCGCCAAGCCCGAAAGCTTCGCCTTTCTCCGTGGAAAGATTACCGGCTCGTGTTCCCGCGGCGGCTGCCACACAAATCGAGCGGACACCTCCCACTTCCGGGAGCGTGTGGCGTCTACACGCCGCGCAGGCGCAGTGAGCCAGCGCGCGCGGAACGCGAGCGCATCTGTTGTCGCGGGCGGGAGGAAGAGGGAGAGGGAGGAGCGCGCGCAGGAGAAACGGGATCAGCCGACGCTGTGTGGAGGCGGCGCGGGTTCCTATTGAAGTTACACCCGAATCTGGAATCTAGTCACTAAAGGATACCATCAGAATAAATGATCCCATCAACGTTTCATGAGAAAAAAACAAAAAAGCACAAGTACCATAAACAGAGGTCAATTTTAACGATAGCAAACAACATTTATGTAATAATTAAGACGTCCTCTTCTGAACACGAAGAAATGGGCCTGGACTTAGTAAAAAACTGAACGTAATGTAAGAAACAACTGTTTTCAGACATTGGACAACCCGTAGTTCTGAACTGTTGTACGTGACAGGAAAGAAAAAAAGATGAACCATTTGTCACCGTGGCTTTCCTTCTAGAGCAATTAACAGTTTGTGATGCAGTAAAGGGGAACTCAAACAGAGACCTAGAGTCTCGCTGAGAAGACAGAGGTCTTACTGAGTTGAGAAGACAGGGATTGAAATTTAGGGGACTTGGGGAGACCAAATTGGTTGGAATTTATGAGGTGGAATTCGTGGAAAAGGCGCTTCAGAAAACTGCATAGGAGTGCCCTTGAATCTTAGGCTGAATAAAAATCAGTGACTGTCATGTGAAAGTCCATAAGGCCAGGAAAGACCAATTATTGGGGAACAGTACGCGGAACAATTCTCGGAGCTCACATAGGACGAGAAATCATTTGAATTCCCCTCAGCCAGAGTGAAGACACTGTTGAATATATCTAATTCTCTCGAAGACAATGGCAAGCCCTCAACAACATTGAATTCAACATGTCAGGCATCCAGTCAAAACTAACAGACATGCCAAGGAATAGGAAAATATATCATACAGTCAATAGGAACATATCCAGAAAGTACAAAAATGATGGCATTAACAAATAAAGACCTTGAACATCTGTTATAAATATACTCTATATGCTCGAGAATTTAAAGGAGAAGATAACAGTAGATAAACATTATTTTTTTTTTAAGAAGAAGAATCAAATAGAATTTCTAGAGATGAAAGATATAATATCTAAAATTTTAAAATCTCTGCATGGGATCATTGGTACATCAGGCACTTCAGGAAAAAAATAATGAATTTGAAGACAGCAATAGAAACAATCCCAAATCTAAAACACAGAGAGGGAATAGACTGGAAAATACGAGAGAGCTTCAGTGACATATGAGACAATATAAAATTGTAGCCTCTGAAAGGGAATGGGGGGTGAAGAAAAAATATATGAAGAAATAATGGACAAAAATCTTCCAAAATTAATGAAACCTATAAACCACAGGTCCAAGAAGGTCAAAGAAGCCCAAGTAGGATAAATAAAAAGGAAACTACACCAGGCCAAATCATAATCACACTAGTGAAAAAGGTGATAAAGAGGAAAAATTTTGAAGCAGCTCAGGAATAAAGGTACATTATATACAGAGAACCAATAGTAAGAAAGTTCATAGACTTATCATTAGAAACTATGCAAGCCAAAAGAAAATGAAATGAGAACTTTAAAGTGCAAAAACAAAACTATCAACTTGGGATTCTATACTCAGCAGCGTGAGACAGACTTTTTCAGACAAACAAACCCAGGAACGCCACATCCTGAAGTAGAGCCAGCAGACTTGTCAACTGTGAAGAAGAAAAATAAAAGTTTATTGTAAGCCACTGGGGTGGTTTGTTATTCAGTATTAATATCAAAATAATGAATACAGAATCACTTCAAATCACATGATAATGGGTGAGGACATATGCTGTAAGTCTCTAGTAGAGAACGGGACACAATTGAAAATCTACCACAGATGTTTTACTTCTCATATCACCTGTTGCTTCCCAATTGGACAGAATTTTTTCCCGTATAATCACAGTTACCTTTGTGTTCATAAACTAAGGTTTATAGGCTCAGAAATTATAAAGATTTCTAAGGCAAAACTGCTGAACTAATTATTTCTTTTTGCTAGGATTTATTAAATTTCACTTCATTAACAACTTTTGAGTCCTGCTATACAACTGCAGAGAAATTTATGAGAAATGCTGAACTCCCTTTTTTCTAGAAGTTATCTTTTTCCCCAAAGAAGACAAAAATGACCCAGTGTGAATGCTATCAAGATCTACATTACGTGGACATTAATAAGTGCTAGTCACAAACCGTTTCACTTGAACTTTTTGTTTTGATACATGTGTCTCAACTGTTAAGAAGCTTCACTATCAAGAACTGATCATTTATCTACACTGAAAATGATAGATTTATATCTTAGTGCTGTTGTCTGTATCTATGGGAATACTAAGGTACAGTAAGCATTCATTCATTCAACAAATATTTATTAAGCACCTTCTATGTACCAAGAATGAGCATTGAACAAAATGACAAAAACTCTTTGCTGTAGTGGAGTTAACATTCAAGAAGTGGAATACAGACAATAAACAAAAGATATAAGTAACATGTTTACAATATATAGAAAAATTAAGCAGGTAAGGGGAATGGGGGGTGCTCGTGTGGGTAGGGGGTGTTGTAGTTTTAAATAGAGTGGTTATGGGAGGTCTCTCTGATGATGTGCTATTTGAGCAAAAACCTGAAGGACCTGAGGGAGCAAACCCTGAGGATATCTGGGGGAAGAGAATTTAAGCAGACCAAACAACAACGGAAAAAGGCCCTGAGCAGAGGACATACCTGGAATGTCCAAGAAATTCCAGTGTTCCATAAGATTCTCCTTGACTTAAGATGGGGTTAGATCCTAATAAACCTGCTGTTGAAGCTGAAAATAGCATGTTGAAATTCATTTGATACCACACCATAGAGTTTTGGTTGTTTACCCTAGTGATTATTTACCTTAGTGATCGTGTGACTGCCCAGCATCATGAGAGAGTATCTTATCACATATCACTAGCCCTGGAAAAGAACAAATTCCAAATTCAAAGTACAGTTTCTACTGAATGTGGATTGCTTTCACACCATCAAAAAGTCAAAAAATCTTAAGTTGAACCATCCGAAGACATACTGTCTGTATTTTCCTTTGACTGTGTGATATCAGCATGCAGGGGACCCAAGTGTTTTTATATCTTGACTCTGCTGTTACTTTTCATACTACCAAAGGAGAAATTCTGACGAAGCTAGTGCCTTCTGCCTAAGAAAATCATGCCTAGTTGGACACCTAAAGGAGAAATGTTTCAGGCCTGGCACAAACCTAAAATAGAGAGTTTAGAATTGTTTATTCTATCATTAATCCCAGCTGAATTTTATATTATCCACTCTCCTATATTTTCAATCTTTTCCTTGCAAACAAACCATTCTCTTCTGTATTTAAAAAACTCAACTAAAAATTTTCCAACTTAAAAAGACAAGCCAAACAAAATACCTCTCAATTTCAGAACCTACAGCTGATGCAATCTGTCTCTCTTTGGAGCTAAACTTGTTGAAAGAAGTATTTTTTCCCCACAACATCCATTCACTATTACAGCCTACTCTAATGTGGATTCCACGCCCCCCACAGTCCAATGCCTTTACTTCTCCATTGAAGTCATCAATTATTTCCATATGGTTAAACCTAGTAGGCTCTTGTCAGAGCTCATTCTACACGACCTTCCAACAGCATCCAACATTGTTGGCTGTTCTTTATTTACTAAAACACTGTCTTACTTTGGTCTGTCTCCATGACAACACACTTGCCTGGCTTCCTTTCTCTCTGGCCATTCCTTCTTAATCTCCCTGGTCAGTTCCCCTTCTTACATTCGATTGTTTAATGTAGGAAATTTTTCAGGGCTGATCTTAGACCCTCTTCCTTTCTATTATATTCTTTTCTCGTTATAGACTTTCATACTAGGTGTTCTTACCTATTCTTGTAGCTTTATTTACTATCCATTTGTCAGTGGCTCCAAAACATATATTTACACCCAAGATCTTAATTCTGAGCACCGATTCACATCTAATTGCCTACTCACAACTGCCTCAACCTGAACATATCAAAAGTGGATTCATCTTCCCACCAAAACCTATCACTTCTCTGTTGTTTCTTTTCTCAGCAAATGGTTCTACAATCTGCACAGTTGATCAAGGCAGAAACATGGGATTCACTTTTGACTTTCATCTTCTTCACTCTCCTTAGTAAATATAGCTGCAAGGCTCAAAATGATCTGGGTTATGGTTATCTCTCCAAGTGTACCATGAAATACCTCCTATCTCCTTTCAGCACCTCAACATCCTATGCTAGTTTTCATCTCAGGGCTTTTCCAGGCTAATTTCTGTGATTCTTTAGATTAGAGATTAAACTTTACTTCTCCATAATGTAACACCCAAATCTGCCCTTTATAAGATCTACTTCTTCCCTTGGCATGTTTTTTTAGAATAAATATTGAAATGTGTAAGAAAACGACCTTAAATATCAGTGCCTTAAATGATATAGAAGTTTATTTCTCTTGGAAGTTAAAGCTTGGTACATAATGCAAAGCTGTCAAGGGCCCAGAGTCCTTCTATCTTGTTGCTGCGCCATTCCTAGTATGTTATTCTCATCCCCATGTTCCAGACAGCTTGGCATTCTGTGTACAGTTCATCCAGTGCAGAGAGGGAGAAATTGAAAGGGGGAATGTGCATTTCTTTTTACAGTCACACCCAGAAGTCATGCACATCACTTATGTTTATATCCCATCTGTTGGAACTTAGTCACATAACCACACACTAGTTGCAGAAGAGGCTGGGGAAAATGTTGTCATGGTTCTGTGAACAGTAAACTATAACAGTTGAAAGTCTATTGTTGTTGAAAAAGGGAAGATCAAATATTTGGACAACTAACAATGTTTGCCACAATCCTGGTGAACACACATATTCATGTACACCCTTCCTGCACCTAATGAACAATCATCCCTTCCCCAGTGGAAACAACCCCCAGATCCTATTTAGCTAGTGCATCCAGCTCAA